CCCCAAAACCCCAAAACCCCAAAACCCCAAAACCCCATGCAATTAATCTTAAATTGATATAATTTTAGTCCAGATTATTTCTCATTGTATTTATTCTTAGTCTTTATGGAAAATTTAGACTACCAATTTGAAGTGAGAGTGATGCATGCATCTAAACTGCAATGGATTGGTATTATAAATACAACAAACACAACTAAAGCATGAACAGGTGGACTCCAGAAGAAGATGAATTATTCCTCTCTTTAGCTAGAGCTCATGGTAAGAACATCAATAAAATCTCAGAAAGTTTCCCTGAGAGATCCAAGAACTCATTACTACATCGATACAACAAATTCTTCAGTGATACGAAGGTCGGCAGCTGGGACGAAGAGGAGGATTACCAACTCATAATGGAAATATTTGAGCAAGCCAAGAACCATTTTGGAGCCCAAGGTGGGCTCCTCAATCGTACCAAGGGAGCTTACATCAAAAGAATTGAGTATTTCCAACAGAAGGTAGGAGATTTTCTGTTTCCCAAGAAAGAACTCAAGGTTAAAAAGCGGGAGTTAAAGACAATTAAGAAAAGAGAACCAACGAGGCTAATCAAGCGCAAACCTAACAAAAGGTCTAAAAAAGTGGTTAAAGAGGAGTTCAAGGTCAAATCAGATATGTTTGATGACTACAAGGATGAGTGCACCAGCAGTGGCAGCGATGACGCTGCCACTTTCAAGAAATTTACACTTGCTATTAGTGAACCTAGAATATCTGAAAGGAAGCAAGAGAAAGCCAGAAAGTCTAAGAAAGTTAAGGCTACGCCAGAAATAAAGAAGAGAGCTCTAGATTATGAGATTAAAACAGAAGCTAAAGATTGGACTGAGCAAAGTGATAAGAGACTTTTAGAACTAGACAAGATCCTTGGATCCGATATTCAGTCAATCCAGAACTTCTTCACTGATAGAACAGTTGATGAGGTTCAAGATAGGCTTGATCATCTGAAGAACCAAACTAGCAATTCTTCAAGGTTTGATATTCAAAAAGCAACCCCAAATATTGAGAAGGACCCAGAGCCTGCATATGAAGACTCCAGTGAGGATGAGGAAATCGATAAGAAGTTTAAGGATTCAATAGCCAAGTTCTTGTAAGGGGTTTTGGGGTTTTGGGGTTTTGGGGTTTTGGGGTTTTGGGG